AGTGGATGTATATGGGAAATGTGGAGATTTATTTTCCGGAAACAAGATTTTTTATTTAATGGAGGTTAAGGACGCGTTTGCTTGGAGTTCAATAGTGACCTGTCATATAAGAGCAGGCTTAGAGAAACAAGCCGTTGTGTTGTTCAAAGAAATGCTTTCACAAGGTGCACGACCTGATCAGCATATACTCTCAAGCACTTTAAGAGCCTGCGTAGAGATCGGCATTCTTGAAACAGGAATTCAAATGCATACACAAACCATAAAAAATGGTTACCAAAAGGACTGTTTTGTTAACACCGGCCTCATCAATCTTTATGCAGCGACAAACGGAATATCTGAGGTTGAAAAGTTGTTTAGAAGTTTGGATAATAGAGATATAGTGGTATGGAACACAATGATTTCATGTTATGCAGAATTGGAGGAAGAAGAAGGGGCTTCTTCGTACTTATGCATAAGTCTCTTAAGAGAACTACTAACTCAAACTTGCATTTTATCTCCAGATGTAGCAACTTTTGTCACTGTTATGAGTTCTTGCAGAAGTGTTTCGGACTTTCCCATAGGAATTCAGATTCATAGCTTGATGATAAAAAATAGCCAAATCTGCCAAGCACACAGGACTACCATAGGTAATGCACTCATAAGAATGTATTCCAACTTCAAGGACATAGAGAGTGCTCAGAAGGCCTTCAATGCCATTCTTCATAAAGATGAAGTCTCATGGAGTTCACTTATTGGAGCTTACCAACAGAATGGTTTTGATTTTGTAGTTCTTAAAATCTTCAAAGAAATGTTAGAAAATGGTATGCCCCCAACGAGTTACAGCCTTCCTTTAACTGTTACCGCCTGTGGAAAGATCTCAGCCACTGATACAGGAAAACAGATCCATTGTCTTGTGTGTAAGTTAGGATTCAACAAAGACATATTTGTGGGGAGCTCAGTCGTTGATATGTATGCCAAATGTGGGAACATGGAGGATTCAGAGAGGGCGTATGAGGAAATTGGAGAACCAAATGAGGTGTTGTTCAACTCATTAATCTCTGGGTTTGCAAAGGATGGCAATGCAATTAAAGCTGTTAAACTTTTTCAAGAAATGGTAAAAATGAGATTGATACCTAACAATATCACCTTCCTGTCAGTTCTATCAGCGTGCAGTCATGCAGGTCTTGTAGAAGAGAGTTTGTTTTTCTTCAAACTGATGAATCAAAGGTATAATTCAGACTTAAATTTGCACCCACTAATTTTAGGTTTATCGATTACTCCATATTAATTATCATATCTACTTACGACTATTTCATGCTGCGTAATAAGCAATTAACTGGTGGGGGGACCAAGACTTAATACAGTGAGATACATTACTCCATAAATACTATATTCAAATATATTTTTTCCAGGACTTTTAGGTTAACAACTTAACATAGTTGCAAAGCCTAACTTTGGGTTTATCAGTGGTGGGTAATCATCGTTTTTGGGCTATTTCATAGTGAATGATTTCAATGCTTAGCTATTTCATAACTAGTCATCACTAATTAAGTGTAGGACTAACTAATTCCTAAAAACACTTATTTTTACCATCATACTTTAGGTATAATGTGAAACCAGAAGCAGAACATTATGGAAGTTTGATTAATGTGCTGGGGCGTGTGGGGAGGCTTGAGGAGGCATATGAAGTGGTGGAGAATGGGGGTGGGTGTGCTTTTGCCTGGAAGACGTTGATGAATGCTTGTAGAAATTATGAAAATGTGAAGATAGCAGAAAAGTGTGCTGAGAGAGTAGTGGAAATTGACCCCAATGATCCTTCTCCGTACATTCTTTTATCCAATATGTACTCCCGAGAGGGGAGATGGGAAGACGCATCAAAGTTGAGGCAGAAAATGGTGGAAATCGGAATGAAGAAGAATGAAGCTGGAAGCAGTTGGTTGATGATGTAGGTAAATTAGCAATGGCATCTGATTTGTTGAGGGACCCCCTCGTTGACCCAGTCCGACTTTCCTAACGGCAACTCTCTATTCTCTTTACAAAATCACGTAGTAACATCTAACCCAGAAGCAGTACGGTTTTGTGTCTGTGTACACATGCATCAGTTGTCTACGTGTAACATTTTTATTTGTGTATACAGACAACTTAACTCTGATATTAGTTGTCTGTACAGACAGAAAGTGTGTACCCATACATTTTTTTTTGTATATGTACATCGACATTGGTTTTCGTGCAACCACCTTGATAAATCTGCAAAAAAAAGTACGCCAATCAATGCAATTTACACACCAATCAAATTTTATTCACACAGACAAATTTTATCGATAAGTGTTTGTATTTGTAGTTTTTTTGTTTGTGTGAAGGGTAAGTAAATAGGGTGTAATCACGCACTAGTGTTAATCGTTTGATGGATGTCGAAATGTGAAATGCTCAACACCATATTTTCATTAATCTACTTACACGTTTAATAATCGCGAAATTGAACATTTGCTTAACCATCATTTCACCTTTTCCAAACTTTAGTGAAAGGGAGGGAACATTAATGCAATCATGCTTCGGGTACACTTTTTTTACACACTTCGAATTGTCTGTGCACAGACAATTTTTTTCGTTTTGTCAAGAAAAATTGTTCCGCACTGACATTTTTTTTGTCTGTGGCACAAACAAAAGATTTTGTAGGTGCGAAGAATAATTCTCTTCACAAAATGAAAAGAAATTATGTATGCACAAACAATTCAACCACGTGTAAAACGACGTGTAGAAAAAGGATTTTGAAAATGTAAGGTGTTCGTGCGGGCACTCTTGGAGTGTAAAAGGGTGATACGAAACCGATCAATTTTTTGCGAACTATTAACTTAAATTATAGCGAGAAGGAATTGATTCAATTTAGCGACAAATGTACTGGATTAGTGAATAAGCTTCATTGTCTATTAACAATTTGATACAAACAAGAAGAAATTGATCCAATTTAGCAACAAGTGCATTTAGTTATCATTATTCAGTATGATACAAGCAACATTTATATAGCACAGAAACAAAAAATTCAACGGTTCTAATTTTCTAGCGACTTTCCGGTGAATTTCCGATTATTTTCAAACAACACTTTTTCCCATGAAGATGATGATGGAAGATGATGGTGAAGATGGAGTATGAATAAAAGAAAAGGAAAGAAAAAGAAAGAAAGAAAAGAAGAAGATGATGATACGATGAAGGAGAGAGAGAAACAAAGAAAGAAGGAAGGAAGATAGATGTACTTCAAGGTGTACCTCTAGCATTTTTGAGCGATTAATTATAGAACGTTTGGAACATTGAAACAAAGTGAGAGTCTGGTAGTCCTGCTTACTAGTCTGAACTCTCGAAGGCGCACCATCGACTCGACAGCTGAATGAGAATTTACTTTTTAGATATATTTTAACTTTTGCTACAATTTGCCTTTTGGGTATATTTTCTTATTAGAAATACTCAATTATCTTTAATTTTTCTACCTTTTCATCTTCTCTTTCATATTTTTGCACCATCTCTCATACTCGTTTCACACAATTTATTACCCCTACATCTTTTTGCTTAAATATGATGCATACCAAAACTTTGTGCAGCAAACAATGAATACAGAGGAAATAATCTCAACCTATTTAACAGTTCTTCTCGCATCAATTAATTTATTGAATGCACTAACCCGATTGCCTAAGTAATCACGTCATACTTTCCAATGAAAAGCACGACAAAAATGTTTGTTGTACATATTTTTGTGTACCCCTTTGTCTCACTTTGTTTGTATATACATACATAGTATTTCGAGATGGGGAAATGGAGTTGCCTAATTCTGCCATTTCGAGAAAAGACAATCCTAAAAGGTATTACCTTCAGTCATATTTTTCGAGAAGGAAACTGGACGGCTCAATCTTTAGCAGATCGGGATAAGGTAACGGGCCAGCTTAATTATTTTCACTCGGTGGATCTTCTTCCGGCCTCGGTCCGTAAGTATTATTATGCGGACTTACTTAGGTATCCGTATTTTAGATATTAGTTTCTTGTACTGTTCTTTCTTTTGGGTCAGGTCTAGCCCCCCAAAAGTTCTTTAATTTCTTGTTGTTTTTTTTGTTTTCCAGAGGTATGCCTCTTAGAGAGGTTTGGTTTGGCCTCCCTCTTTGTAGCTCTCTCTACATTAATAAAATAACGGCAAATGACTCCCGGCATTTGCTCCACTGATTTCGGTGGTTTACCTTCTGGGATAAAAAAAAAAGCATACATAGTTGTTTGTATACAGACAATTCATATTGAAATACAGACGTTGTGTGTATAAAATTATTCTGCCTCTGTAGACACACAAGATGTGCCAAAGGTGTATACAAAAAAATGTACATAAATTATTTTCAAAGTACGGAGGTTACACCTCTTGTGTGCTAGACTATAACTTTGGAAGAGGCAAGTATTAAATACTTCATCCGTCCCGTTAGAAGGTTCCCACTTTTCTTTTTTGGACGTCCCATTAGAAGGTTCTCATTTTCATTTTAGGAAACAATTAACAATCTTAAGTGACAAATTAGTCATTAAATATTAAAAATAATACTAACACATTATAATATATACCTATTAAAATTATTTCTCAAAATATACCTGAAGTACTTTATTTATTTATCACCTAAATAACCGTGCTGTTTTGCTATGAGAACCGGGACGGAGGTAGTATAAGATATGTCACCGTTGAATACACTAAATTACCATAATTAACAACTTCCGGATTGAAGTTTAGGGAGTTTTTATGTTTTTTTGACAACAAGTTTAGGGATTCTTGGGTTGAAGATTCAAATACGTGAAAAGAATACTTTCCGAAACCTTTTCTATAGTTGCCCTAGACGTTTCTACAAACGGCCCAAGCACTGGGAAGAGAGCGGGGCACATTGATGACCTGCCAAATAAATCCAAAATTCCCGCCAAAAGCGCGGACACAAATTCCACTCTCACGATTCAGTTTTTTGGAACTTATTATTATTACTCCGTATTACTCCGTATTAAATTAAATTAAATAGAGGGGTCAGCTGTCAGTATTATACGTACAATTTATCCGTGTTTTCCAGACCCTTTATTTATTCCAATACTTATCTCGCCCCATTCGCCACAAAACGCACAAAAGCCGACGCGAATATCTGTATCTCTGGTCTCTGCTTCTCAAGGTGAACTCGCTATATCCACGCCGCCGACTTACTTGTTCCTATCGGTTCCCCGCCGATTCTCACTGGTTTTGATAGTTTTTTCGCAGGTTCTGCAATGAAGGGAGGTAAATCCAAAGCCAAGCTCGATAACAAGTATGTTTCGTTCGTTCCGTTGCTCCCTGTTGATATCGACTGCGATAGCGATTGAGATCTGTGATTTTGATGTTATCACAACAATTGATACGAATCTCAATTATTGTGCCGCATTGCGACTCAATTCTGTCTTATTTTTTCACAGGCTCGCCGTGAAGAAAGGTAATACGGATAAGAAGAAACAGAAGGCTGCCAAGGATCCAAATAAGCCGAAGAGGCCTCCCACTGCCTTCTTCGTTTTCATGTACGCTATTCGACTCTCTATATCGGATCGATAAGCATGGACTGTGTTTTTCTCTCCGGCGAATAGTCTGTTAGTATTTACACTTGTTCTTCCTTGATGTTTTGTTTATGTTTCGAACATTAGGGAGGAGTTCCGCAAGACGTTCAAGGAGAATAATCCAGGGAACAAATCCGTATCCGTTGTTAGTATTTTTCTCACACAATTTTCACTGATTCGGGGAAAGTAGTAGTTATTATTGGGTAATGTAATATACATGCAAATTGAAGTTATATTTGAATTTTAAATGTTTAAATCTACCAGGTCGGTAAAGCTGGAGGAGTCGAATGGAAAAATATGTCTGAGAGTGTAAGTGTTCGATTATATCTATATACTGGATATGAAGCTATGATCAATTATACGAAGTATTTGAGTCCAGTTTTTAATCATCATTGTTTTTTGAATCTGTTAGGATAAAGCTCCATACAAAGCAAAAGCAGATAAAAGGAAGCGTGAATACGAGAAGACCATGGAGGCCTACAATAACAAAGAGACTGTTGCCCCGGTGGAGGAAGAGGAATCTGACAAGTCAAAGTCTGAAATACACGACAACAATGAAGATGAAGACAGTGCCGAGGTTAGTATTGACTATTGATTGAATGAAACACTAAGTCGGATTAATTTTTTGGAATGATCTAGAATTATGAATAATGGTGCTTTGCTACAGTTTACTGCCTATGATGATAATTACTTCATATATTAATATTTGAAGAAAATAATCAACATGTATTGAGATCTGAATAATATATAAGGCATGATAGAGCTGTCCCAAAAATAAGTTACTTTTGGTTGTCAATACCTTCTAATTTGATCTACAATTGCCTCTATAAAGTGGTGTGGTTGTTTATGTGCAGGAAGGCAGTGTAGAGGAGGATTAAGAAATTCGTTGGAAGGAATTGTCGTTGGCTCACTCGTGGCCGTATATCTATGATGATCTATCTATATACTGCACTAGGAATATTTTCTAGACCCTCATGACCTTATCAGCCTGCATTAAAAAAATGCTTATGCACTTTCCGTTGCTTTCTCCGTTAGAATTACTTTTACTTACACCGAGTACAAAAAACGCTTATGTACTGTTAACTTGCTTTTCCCCATAGTTTTATTCTTTATAGTGTGATTCTTATCAAGTACTACGAACATTATAGGCCGAGGCCTAGATGGGGGTTAATGCTAACTTCCCCTTGTGAATTCTGATGATAGTTTTAGTTTTTACAAAGAATAGAATGCTCTTCCTCATTTGAGCCAGAATTTCCCTTTATCGTACTATCTAATATCTATGTTTAAAGATACAAAATGGCATTTAACATTCCTAAGGTGAAAATGTGACTGATGCTTCTCTCAATGTGCATATTGGTCTTTATTTTCCTCAAATGCATATTGGATCATCATAAGAGGCATATCTGAATATGAGGTGTGCACACCGGCAAGACGTTGATTGGATCACCAATCAACATTTAATTCGTGTGTGTGCATGTCAACTAGAGTTTTTGTTTTTTGAGTAGCAAGCATATTTTTGTTGAGAGGGGAGGCCTCTGCATCCTAAAATTAAGCTCTGTTTTTATACTCCTATATACGAAGTATATGTGGTAAAGGGGTAAAGTACATCTTGCCACTTTTTTTTTTTTGAATGAAATAGACTTAAATTGATAACACATCAATGACATCATTCAGATAGGAAGTAGTGCTGGACTCGGGCCGGGCGGCCCGGCCCGGAACCGGCCCGGCCCGGGGCCCGGTGGGTCCACCGGTTCGGTTCGGCCCGGCGGGGTTCGGGCCCGGGCCCAGGTTTTGGTGAACCGGCCCGGCCGGTTCGGGCCCGGTCCGGGCCGGATTTTAATTTTTTTTTTTTTGAAATTTTTTTAAGTTTTAGGTTGGATTAGGTATTTTGGGCCATTTGAGGTGGTTTGGGATGGTTTGGGGTTGAGGGGGAGGGGTAGGGGTAGGGGATTAAATAGGAGAACAAAAAAAAAAATTAATTGGGCCGGTTCGGCCCGGCCCGGTTTGGCCCGGAACCGGGACCGGAACCGGCCACCGGCGGTTCGGGCTCGGGCCTCCCTTTCCTGGCCCGAGGCCCGGCCGGGCCCAGGCCCGAACCGGGCCCGAACCGGCCCGAGTCCAGCACTAATAGGAAGTAATTCGACAAAAAGATTCCTGACAACCGCCGTCCCGCGAACCGGACTCAGAATTAATCACTTTCATAGAAGTAATGTAATTCGTTGATCCATTAATGGACAAAAATGAGCCAAAGATGGTTACCACAATCCTCCTATCACCTCTATCCAAATCCATCGTCTTACAAAATGAAACAAAACATAATGCAAAATAAATTGTCACAAGAGAAAAAAAAAATAAAGCAAATAAACTTGAAACTCTGTCTGAGTCTGTTGAACCGCACGAGCACCCTTAACTTCCGCATCCATTGTGACAGTAACTGCTTCGGCGGGCTTACAAATCGAAGCCCGCCCCCGTCCCGTTTTTTCTCCCATCCAGTGCCATGTTATCCTCTCCATTCTTTCCTTCCTCCTGGGTTTCCCATATCTTCTTCTCTTTTGTTCCCTTGAAGTTTCTTCCTTTGTTTCCACGCCTTTAGTAATACTCTGCGCTGATTCTGATATAGACTCTTTCTCCCCTCCATCCTACCTACCATCAGACTTGAACTCCCCCATGTATCTGCGGTCTCTGCCAGAGCTCGATGAACCTTCCAGCAACCACTTACTTCCTCATGTTGGGCTAGTCTTCACCTCAATCCCTGCTCTAAGCTGAACCCTAAATCTGTTTTCCAGCACAAGATCTTCTTTGTAATTTAACGGGCAAATTTATGTGAATGCCCTATTAACCCACATAAAAACAGAAATTGGGCAATTTCTCATACTTAAAATCCACCCAAAAACTTTTTCCTTCTTTTTTCAGATTAATACCCTTTTTCAGAGGTTTATCAACGTTCATACACTCTGATTCTCATATAAGGCTCCCACTTCTCCTTTTTCAGATTATCATCACAATTTATAAATTTTCCAATAAAATTTCTCACCCTTCTTGCAGTACCTAAATTCACAAGGCTATATGGAACATTATGAATTTGGACCCCAAAATCAGCCTCATTCAACAATAGATTACGCTCAAATTGCCAAAGACCTCCCTCAATAACAAGATGGGAAAAGGACCAAAAGTGACATTAAGGGTTTTAATGAAGTTCGGATTGGACACTTAGGTTTTAAGTGGACCATATAAACCCAAATTTAAACTTTTTGGTTCCATTTGAGCCACCGTTATTTGCTCCGTTATCTGGTTAGGGGTGGCAGCAGGTCGGATTTATACCGGGTGAAGGCTCATCCACGTCCACCGTTAATTTTTCGTATTCCACCCACCCGTCCATCATCCATTAAAAATTACATCCACATCCAACTCATCCATCATGAGCGGATTATCGGGTGGATCGGGTGAGTAACGGGTGAATATAAATGGTCTAACTTGAAAGACAAAATAAATAAATTATAAATAGAAATTATGACAATTAAAAAACATTAAAAATTCATTGAATAATAACAACAAAAACATGATCAATTAAGTGTATTACAATAATTAATTCACTGCCAATAAAGAAAGAAGTGATTGTCTAACAAAATAGACATAAAACTTTTTCAAGCTGTCAAATTCTACATTTCTGCATCGGCACAAAACTATTTTTGCAGTTACATTGCCACTTCTTGAAACTCTTCAATTGTCTTTATTTCACCAATTCATAGATATGTGTCTTCTTCATTAACAAATACATATCTATTACTCCATAATATATTAATATTAATTATTATATATATTATTAATATAATATAATATAATATAATATAATATAATATAATATAATATAATATAATATAATATAATATAATATAATATAATATAATATAATATAATATAATATAATATAATATAATATAATATAATATAATATAATATAATATAATATAATATAATATAATATAATATAATATAATATAATATAATATAATATAATATAATATAATATAATATAATATAATATAATATAATATAATATAATATAATATAATATAATATAATATAATATAATATAATATATATTTATATTTATATGCGGGTTAGCGGGTGGGTGGATGGAGCGGGTGACGTGTCGGGTGATGGATTGGATGAGTGTTCATCCACACCCGATCCAACCCATCTTTCAATCTACCCGTCATCCATTTTTCACCCATACTTTTCGGGTTTTCGTCCACATTTTCGGTTCGGTTTGACCGGATATCCGCGGGTGCGGGTGATATTGCCAGCTCTATATCTGGTTCTATACTTCTATAATCTCTCATCTTCTTCGGCAAATATCAGATTTCAATTCCTCTTCTCTAAAGATGCAGATCTTCGTGAAAACCCTAACCGGCAAGACGATCACTCTCGAAGTCGAGAGCTCCGACACGATCGACAACGTCAAGGCCAAGATCCAGGACAAGGAAGGAATCCCCCAGACCATCAGAGGCTCATCTTCGCCGAAAAGCAGCTTGAGGATGACGATTACCCTGGAGGTGGAAAGCTCAGACAAAATTGATAATGTGAAGGCCAAGATTCAGGACAAGGAGGGGATTCCAGCAGATCAGCAGAGGTTGATCTTTGCCGGTAAGCAGCTGGAAGATGGCAGGACCTTGGCCGACTATAACATTCAGAAGGAGTCCACTCTGCACCTTATCCTTCGTCTTCGTGGGGGTTTATGAATTGTTTCTTTAGCTTTGATGTGTTTCATCCAAGTCTGTCTTCCCTTTGTGTCTGTCGTGTCTGTTTAAATAATTGAATTTTCACTTGTTTAAAAACAAGGTGTTTGCAATGTTTCTTTGATTTAGTTTGTTTTCCCAGCAAAAACAAAAAATGCCGCCGGAAAGCACGACTTGAAAAAACACACTGCTCCATACCATTTCCTACATTCTTGCGAATCAATCCTTCAAGTTTTTGGAATTTTCTTAATCTTAAAGACAGCTGGTGAAACCCAACGATCCAAACACACTGCATGCCACTTCCATCATCCCTCTTCTTAGGTAACAGTGGGGGGTTTAAACACATTGCCGCCTGACTGGCCTCTACCGGAAACGGAACGCTATCAATCCCCTCTGTATGTGATGGCGAATTTAAGTTTCTTGTTTCTCTTTCTCTTAAATGAAACATGTCCTTTAATTTTTGTAGTGCAAGCATCTACCGTCCCTCTCTGAATCATTTAGTTCTCTACCTACGTGAGCTAGGTTTTAACGTGGAAAGGGGAAGGAAAGGGCGTTAATGAAGGGGAAGACCCATTTAACATGAGTTATTAAAGGGTGGCTAAAAGGCAACCAAAATGTTTAAATTTGTGTTTTTATATGGTCCACTTAAAACCTAAATGTCCAATTCGAACTTCATTAAAAACCTTAATGTCATTTTTGGCCCTTTTCCCTAACAAGATTCACATCAACACGATGATTGAAAGTAAAGAGGTACCTCTTATCACCCACTTCTTAGATCGACATACCTTTTCCTGGCTGCCATAGCGAAAATATTAGGTCCTAGAGGGCTGAAAATTTAACCTTCCTGCCTGTCAGTAGCACCCCCACCACCGGAAACCCCGGCCTGTGTTCCTCCACTGGTATCTCCTCTACATCTCCCTCATCCAGGTCCAATTTGTCCTCCTCCGTTTCGATCGCCATATGTTTATATTTGTCCACGAAGCCTTCCATTTGAGCCTTGCTGCCTTTTCTACTGCCGAGTCCGCCGCCTCGTGCTCAACAAAATCACCGAAACCAGAGCCTCTTCTTCCAGTCCTGAAGCCGACGCCTCGTGACCAACGAAACTTTCCAAACTCCAAAACCCGACTTCCGATGCTTGAAAGAGAAAGACCGAAAACGAGACTCCACCAAATTATAAGAGCCCGAAACCGAAGACACCCCCCCACTCGGCTAGGCCGGCGGTGGCGGAAAATCCGAAGCTAGAAGGTCACCCTAGAGAGAGAAGAGAGCCTTCCGCGCAGTTTATTTTTACAACTTTGCCACTTTAAAAAGTACATTTTTAAAAAAAAATTCCATGGACATAGATGGAAAATAGATAAAAAAAAAAGTTATTTGCATCAAAACACTTGAATTTAAAATAGAAATTTAATTAGAGAAATTTCTAGATACAGGAGTAAACATGTTGTGGAATTTTAAAACAGAACTATCATCTTGTAGTCATGACAATATTTATTATCATTAATTATCATTAATGTCAATACTTTTCAATCTTGGCAACATTGACTCTATTTGAATGAAAAACATTGCAATCCT